ATAGTAATTAAATTTTGAGTGAGAGAGAAAAGTACCTAACCAGTTTATCTACTTTATAAAAACACTAAGGTGGTTTTGAGTAAGTATTTGGGGCCTAGATGTGAAGCTGTAGGAACTAGTTGATCCTATAGACAGCATCACTGAGCATATTCTCTGATCTGGTCTAAAAACAATCACTTGTGAGCAGAAGTTGCAGAGAGATAAGGTATAAGAAATACTTAAAGGAATGAATAGTGAAAGGTCAAAATTGAAATTCCTGAGTCATTGTATTTATTGAACACCAGATAATCTGAGCCCAATGCAAAGATGTAGGGTTAAATCAGATTCTTGCACGTGGAAGGATTATCTTTGAATAGGAGACCTAAAATCTGAACAAAAACACAACTATAAAGAACCTGGGAGAATTTGGTTGTCTTCCAAACTATTAGTCATCTGCAGATTCCACTTGAAAAATGACTTCCTAAAAAGAAGAGAGGAATGAATATGTTGTACCAGTTGTTAACTCTCCAGAACATCTGATTTGGAATATGAGAACAGAAAACTCATTCCTATGACAATTCCAAGTCATGAGAGAAAATAACAAAAAAGTGGTCTAACTATGGAAAATGTGAAGAATTAATCCAGTAATCAGCAAAGAGAAGTGGTACCTGTAAGTGTTGAGAGAAGGGAAGGGTGGGAACAACTCAAGGAAGTACAGAGGGGCAGTTAAACAGGAAGAGAAGGTAGATGTTTCAAAATAGAAAAGAAGGTGCTAGACTAAATCTAGTTACATCTTAGTCCAGCCATAGAACAGTTTAACAAGTGTGGTACCTGGCTTAAAAAGAGGTCCACAAAGTCTTCAGTACCCCTCTCTTTGGAGTTTGAAGCCTGATCCTCTCCCTCGAGCAGAGACGGTACTTGGCATCTCACTTCTAGTGAAAAGAATGTGGCAGAAGATTCCAAGACCGGGACATAAAAGGCATCATGGTGTCCTCTTGGATCACTGAATCTGGAGTAAGCCAGCCGCCATATTATACAGATACTCAACTAGCCCCACCCAAATGCCCATCCATGGATGGCTCCTGTGAGCATCCCCAGTCAAGCCTGCTGACTGCAGCCTCAGCCTGCATCTTGATCCTGCAGCCTCAGCCTGCATCTTGATCTTACATTTCAAAAACATGCTTCAACCTAGAGTACTCCATCCTACTATCAATACCCTACAGCTCATTGAGCAGTTTGCATGTGACATGGTCCTTTTCCCTGATTTCCCTATGTCTGATTCAGAAAACCCGGCATGGAAGGATGGGGAGAACAGGACTGACAGCATTGCCTTCAAGGGAACTGTTCCCTGCCTCGCACTCTCCGTGGCTAGAGTTGGTGGAGGTCTGGAGACGCTCCCTCTCCAGCAGATCCAGCTGGCTCCATCTGAAGTGAAGAGATGTCAGTGCTCTGCTCCAGTGTGTCCCAGCTGTCCATCAGGGGAAATTCCCCACAGGAATGTCTGAACGGAATCAGAAAGGCATGACTGGGTGACATGGAACACCGTCTGTCATTGGACTTCTTTGCCCATTAATAATTCACAACTTTTTCTGGTGGCTTTGGACATTTGTCTGTGTTTCCATTACTGCTGGTGGTTGACATAAATTTTATTTCTGTTCTCAAACTACATCAGATTCACAGCCACACAGATGGCCAGGCCCCGCCCAATAAATTTCTGCTTCAGCAGGTCTGGGGCAGGGCCTGGGAATCTGCCTTTCTAGCAGGTTCCTGGGTGGTGCTGATGCTATGCTGTTGGTCTTGGGAACATGCCTAGAGAAGCCCTCAGATTTCCCTTAAGGGTGTCTTACAGGTTAAAAATTTGAAACCATCTGAGTGCTGACAGGAAGCCACAAGTGAAAAATTCCACACCATGAAACTATTTTATATTATATAAAGTTATTTTCCTATGTATATGAGATATACATGGAACATAAATGAATTTAGTACTTAGACTTGTGTCTTATCCCCAAGAGTTCTTATTATGTGTTATGGTTTAGATATGAGATATTTCCCAAAAGCTCGTGTGTAAGATAATGCAAGAATTTTAATAGGTGGAATGATTAGATTATGAGGTGTAGCCTAATTAGTAGATTAACCCACTGATATGGATTAACTGGGTAGTAACAAAGCAGGTAGGGTATAGCTGGTAAGTAGGTCCTTAACAGCATGCCTTTGGGGGGTTTACATTTTGTCCCTGGTGAGCAAAGGACTTCTACCTTCATCTTCTGCCTCACCGTGGGCCCAGAGCTATAGGAGTCAGCCACCCGTGGACTGAGACCTCTGAAACCATGAACCCCAATTAACTTTTCCTCTATTTTGGTCTTGTCTTTTGGTCATAGTGATGAAAAATCTGAATTATATCTTATGCATGTGCATATATTCCACATTTTTTTCTAAGAATTAAAACATTTCTTGTCCCAAGAATTTTGAATAAGAAATACCCTGTAATGTGTGTGCTAGTATGGATTATTCATTGTCAGATTTCCTAAGGATTGTTTGTTCAAAAGGAATAAAGGACACTCCTAAGCCTTCAGCACTCCTGTTTGACATAAGTTGGTTCTGTGTCTTTAACTTTAAGGTTTCTGCTCAGGAGCCCATGAAATTAAAAATCGCCTTTTTTGCTACATCAATTTTACTGCTGTAACGCACATGTGCACACAAGAGCATGTGTGCACACATACCATGAGGTTAAATTGAGGAGCTCAGATTAAACAAATCTCCCCACTCAGAAAGTCATCTGTTGATCATTTAGCTTAATTAACATCAGGTGTATCGAGTATCTACTGTGACTCACTCCTACCTCCACTAAAAACCAGGCTGCTTTATGTGTGGGTTGATTAAAGTATCTATCAAAGTAGCTCAAGGCCTGGCTCCTGGTAAACCTCAAAGTGAGATGCTTGCATCTTAAAGGCTCAGCTTCTAGCAAAAAACACACATACTTACAGAACATGAACAGCAAGGGACCTGGAAATGCAGTAAAACTTGGGAAAACCTGGAGCCTTAGGAGAGGGTGGAGCATTTCATAACGTGTGTATGCTGTTGTACACAGGGTTGTGGCTGGCCATGTGTTTCTCCTGTTCCGCTGGGGTAGGTGACAGAGTCACTGTGAGGATGATGCTCATGCCCAGGCTTTGGGAGTAGGTGATACACCTTTGAGGCAGTATCTGTTTTAGTTTGTTTTATTTTTCAGAACTATACATGGCAATTAACTTGGATGATAGCACATTGAATACTGAAGCTAATTTGTATCCATCTTGTTGTTCACTGTGAAAATAGTCGTGATTTGAGAATTGTACTGTCACGTGATTAGTTAGACTGTTGATTTGGGCTGTTGAGAATACAGTGGGTTTCTTTTTATCCTCAGTTTTGCTTTCTTTGGGTTCAATTACCCAATCAATAGTGGTCCAAACATATAAAGTGGGAAATTCCAGAAATAAACAATTCCTAAGTTTTAGATTGCCCACTTTTCTAAGTATCATGATGACATTTCACACTATCCTTCTTCATCTTGTGTGAGACTTGTCACCTCTTTGTCCACTGTATCCACGCTGTATACACTATCCACCAGTTAGTTTCTTAGTAACTGTCTAGTTATTAGATGGACTATCAAGGTATCACATTGCTTGTGTTCAAGAAACTCTTGTTTTAATTAAAAATGGCCCCAAAAGCAAGAGTAGTGATGCTGGCAGTTCAGATATGCCAAGGAGAAGCAGTGAAGTGCCTTTTTGAAGTGAAGAGGCAGAAGAAAGTACAATAAGGTATTTTGAGTAAAGGGAGTCTACGTTCACTTAACTTTTTTTTTTAACAATACATTGTTGTAATGATTCTATTTTCACTTAACTTTTTTTTTTAACAATACATTGTTATAATGATTCTATTTCACTGTTAGTTATTGTTGATAATCTCTTACTGTGCCTAATTTCTAAATTAAATGTTATCATAAGCATGGCTGTAAAGGAAAAAAAAAAGACCATATATAGGGTTTGGTACTAACTGCAATTTCAGGCATTGAGGATCTTGGAACACCTGCCTGCACATATATTGTTGATATATTATAGTTGAGCATGGGCTGGTTGGCATGCTCACACACACTTCATACTCTTACACACACACAAAGCTATCTCCCTAGCTCAGAATTCCTCTCACCTCCAGTGGGGATTCACTCCCCACTGGAGTGCCACTGGACAGAGCTTACATCCCAGACACACCTGCATGTGTGCACACACAGGTCCAGGGCTGTGTGGGCATGGAGCATAGCCAGGGTTCAATACATAATTGTTACTTGTTAAATTGATCAATATTTTTTGGTTTACAAAGAGTATTTCTTAGTGTCCTTCCTGTATGCTTTTCAGTAAATGAAATAAAAGGCCAATTTTAATAAAAATAATGACATTTCTAAAACATACTGTAATGCACTAATGTAATATAATACAGAATTTGAACAGTTCTCAATAAAATCTGTGTTCAAACCCTAGTGCAGCCCCCTCTGGGGTGAAGTATGATTCAAATGTCACCAGGATTTTTCACTGTCCTTCAAGTATTTATTGTTAAAAGCTTAGAGTTAGAAATTTTTGATGGCTTAATTTCTAATAGAAGTAAAATTTCTAGCTGTGCTTTGCAGGCAAACTACTTTGAGTAATTCCTAGTTTGCCACAAACTGTCTGGGAAATGCACACTTCCTGTTCCTCCAGCACCCGGGGAGCATGGTTGGTCTGACTTCTATAGCCAACAAGCATTTCGCACTGCAGCTGTGCTAAGCCAGAGTCCATCTGCCTTTGATTCGGAAGGTGCGATCTTGGTCGCCTCTGGGTCACCTGGCCATCAGGCAGGGTGTTCCAAGGTGACCTGAGACCCAGCTTTGTGAGCTGGATGGGGATCTGGATTTAGTAGGCGGGTCCAGCGGGCCCCAGCCTGGTTAAGGGTCAGGCCGTCCCTGTTTTCCTCTGTGCCCGGTTGTAACTCTCCTCCTGCTTCCTCCCCAGCCCAGTGACTTCTCCGTGTCTCTCAAAGCGTCAGGGAAGAACAAGCATTTCAAGGTGCAGCTCGTGGACAATGTCTACTGCATCGGGCAGCGGCGATTCCACAGCATGGACGAGCTGGTGGAGCACTACAAGAAGGCGCCCATCTTCACCAGCGAGCACGGGGAGAAGCTCTACCTCGTCAGGGCCCTGCAGTGACGCGGCGGCCTCCCAGGCCCCAGCTCCAGGGCCGCGCTTCCCCCTCGCCTCCCTCCGGAGCCCTGTGGTCGCCCACCCGGCCGTCCTGCCGCAGCTCCGCGTGCCAGGCACTCGTCCCGATCGGCCTCCTTAGCCCCTTCCCCTGCGCCACCCCAGGCCACCCCAGGCCCTCTCGGCCACGCCCGGCCCACAGCCTCCTGGCCCGCTGCAGAGGACGGGGCAGAAGGGGCGTGTCTGTCCACCTCACTCCTTTGCAGCTGGAAACAGCCGCGGTCCGTTCAAATCGGTCACACTCAGAACTCCCCACTCAACGACATCGGGTGCAGTTGGGGGGCATCAGGCTGCGCTCAGTGTGTGAGTGAACCACAGCACACTCGGGATGAAATGGCCTGAGCTCTGGCTCCCTGGGCACAGGTGGCAGCGGCCCTCCTTCAGGGTCCTGGCTCCAGGCTGTGCAGGGAGCAGTTGCATTTGAGGATAGCAATACTGGAACGCCGGGTTGGTGGGGTGAGGAAACTGCCCAGTGCCTTCGAGGCTGTGCTTGCAATAAAGAGAATTTCCGTGAGAGTCAGTCTACAGAAGAGGGAACCCGTGATGCAGAAAGACATGTTTTGGTAAATGACCCCCAGATGTGCCATCCGCATAGTGCTTTTTCCTCTCGCCCTTTGGCTTGTTTGAATTTCACAATTATGTATTTAATTCTCAAAGTAATATGTATCTGTAGCCGTTTGTTGACACTAATAACAGATGATTAAGGAAAACAGCTGATCTTTGGGGAAGGGGAGATACGAATACTTTATACACACTCACTATATATATATATATATAATACATGTATATTATATATATATAATTTGCTTTACAGGGAAATTTTTCAGGGTTTACAAAAGAATATGTGATTGGTAGTAAAAGACACAGAATGTTTATGAAAAAATTGCATTTTCTTTTTTCTTTACATTTGAACTTCTTTATAGTTGAAATATACAGTCTTGAGATGGCACATTCCTACAATTGAAGAAGGGGTCTTGAGATCCCCTAAACTTGCATACCCAGTTTTTTGGATATTGTAATAAAAAAGAAGTATTATGACAAGACTGTGTGTGTATTTATCTTGGGGGAAAAATTGACTCAATTATGGGTGAGTAATGACTGCAGTGTTATTAAACCTTCATCACCAAAAGGACATCCTTTAGTGCATTTCTCTTACACATTTTCTTTTTTCTACTGCTGCATTTTGGTATATTGAAATACTAAGCTCTAATTAGTTGAACTCCCATGAGAACCCAGAATGTCAAACTTGATCTTTACTCTTTGGAAATTATTGGCTAAGAAATATATTTCACTGTACTGTTGTCAGCCAGAGTTCTCACACTCGGTGGCCCTGCCAGCTGACATTTCACTTGGCTCAATCTGTTTATTGTTCGTTAAGCTACAATGTGCCAGGCACAGGGAATGTGCTCTCCCTTTGTGCCAAGAAGAGTGTCACTGTTGGCTTAGCACAGTCCTGTGAGGGGCCTCATACTGTCACCCCCATTTTGCAGATGGAAACAGTGAAGCACAAAATGTTCCAAGGCACATGGCCACTGCAGGGACAAGTATGGATGCCAACTCGGGATTCTACTCCGGGGCCCCTCCCTTTCCAACTCCAGTCTAGGCAGAAATTGTGGAGAAATGAGGTATTTCCTGAGAGTTTGCACTTACTCTGCCATTCTTGCTTCCTTGAGTTTGCTGTTATCTCTTTTTGCTTTGAGTTATAATCTATTAGAAGTTGGGCATCTGGTACCTGAAATGGCAGCACCCAGTTATAGCAAATAGACTTCCAATTATTACCTCAGATAGGTCCATTTTCTACCTTATCCACGGAGAAGCAATTCCTGTGCATATCCAGGTCTCACTGTGTTCATTACATTTTGGCCTTCTAGAATCGCTCTAAATAATGAGGCTCTTGTTTTATAGGTGATTCGGGAAGAAATGAGCAACTAAAGGACAGAAGACAGCTGCACATTTTGGCTTCAGGAACTTAAAGGCTCATGATGTAGCTGACAGCAGAGTTTTGTCACAAACTGCTTTGTGAGAGTCCTCCAGCTATGAGGTAGATCAGGACAGGTACCCTGGGACACTGGCAGCAGGATGTCAAAACAAGATTTACATGTGGTGTGGAATATGGATCACTGATGCTCCACCCAGGTGGCAATATTGCCATCAACCTTCTTGATTGTCCAGAGATTTCCTGGGCAAATCTTGTTTTCCTGTCCTGTTGCCTCCTTTACAGCACACAACTATAAAGGTCAGTCATTTGTTTACATCCCTGTGTGCCTTTATTTTACACAAGCCAATACAATAATAATTTGTTTTTAATTTATACTCCTCTAAGAGTCATAGAGGAGTATAAATTAGGATCCCTTTTTTTGAGGGGGGGTACTGGGGATTGAATTTTGGGGGCACTCAACCATTGAGCCACATTCCCAACCCTTTTTATGTTTTATTTAGAGACAGGGTCTCACTGAGTTGCTTAGCATCCTTTAAGTTGCTGAGGCTGGCTCTGAACTCTGGATCCTCCCAGACTGCTGGAATTGCAGGGGTGCACCATCGCCCCGGCCCAGGATCTCATTCTTGTGGTTGTGCATGATGTGGAGTTTCTCTGTTCGTATATTCATATATGAACCATGCCTGCCTACTGCCTGAATACCAAAATAATTTCTTAAGACCAAAGCGCAGATTTGAAGGATGGAAAAGTATTATTTAAAATACAGTCTGTCACTTAACGACCAGGATATATTCTAGGAAATGTCATCTGACGTCATTGCATGAGCATCCAGGAGTGTAGTATACAAACCAAGACAGCTGTGAGTCACTAGATGGAATAATCATGGGACCATGGTCCAGTGTGTCATGTGGTGTGTGTGTGGCTGTATTATTTTTCAATAAACATGGGTCTAGTTTGGGTCTTTTTTACTAGAATCAGCCTTAATTATGTTAGTATATGAACCAGACCTGCTTTATCCGGTCTTGGTATAACGAAATGATGAGTTTTTCAAGAGAAAGAGATTATTCCTCTTTTGACCAAGCCTGTGGAGGAGGGAGGGCAAGTCCTAAACCCTGTCCCCCAGGAGAGGGTTTGGGGACATTTATGGGCTGAGGCATGGGGAAGGGTGGTAGGGTCAGACTTGATTAACTGTTTTCATCGTGGCCTGTGGTCAAAGGTGTTATCTATAATTAACTAAAAGCAAAGAGTAGAGGGTTTACTTGGAAACAAAGAAGAGGTGGTTTATTATAGTTTGGATCTTGAATGTCCCCCAAAGGCTCATGAGTTCAAGTCTGATTCCCCGCCAATAGCACCACTGAAAGGTGTGGAGCTTCAGGAGGTAGGGCCGAGTGGTAGGAAGTGAGGTCACTGGGAGTCAGGATATTAGAGCCAGCCCTGTGTACACATGCTTGGCTTCCTCGCCACTTGAGGTGAGCAGGCCTCCCAAGTGCACTCTGCCATGATGTTCTGCTTCATCACAGGGCCAAGGGGACCATGGACTGGAACTTCGAAGTCACAAGTCAAAATCAACCTTTCCTCCTTGGTACGTTGTCTCTGGTCCGTTTTGTCACAGTGATGGACAGCTAACTCACGCTTCACTCAGGTTTCCCTTCTGGTTGATTCACCTGGATCTTTCAGTTCTAACACCACAGGATGCTAGTCCTCTCCTGCAGTGTCACGCCTGGTTTGTCTGTGGACCTGGGGCCACCTGCTGAAAGCCACCCATGGTAGTAGAGCCAGCTTGTCTTTACCAGCCCTATGATTGCAGGCAAACTGCCCAGCTTCTCTAAATAGGTTTGCTCATGAATAAAACGGGGCTGCTCTCCATCTCTGGAATTCACAGGGCCGGGAGCGGGTTAGCAGGGTAGCCCAGGTAGAAGTGTTTTGCATGAAGCAAAACATCAATAACTGCTCCCCCTCAGCCCTGTCATATTATCTGCTTGCCTTTTTCCTCTCTGGAGCTTTTCTGTGACTCAGTTGCCACCAGCTTCCTCAGAGGACCCCCATTGAAGAACTGTCTCCATCAACCTGCCACATGGTCCTCACCTGCAGTCTCAGGGCCCACATGCCCTGCTTTTAGAGCTTACGACTCTTCAGGGGTTTGAAGAGGGATGCACCAACAAACTCCTATGACCCATCCTCCTTTCCAATCCCAGGACCACAAACCATACGGAACCACCCACAGCACTCACCTTCTTACCAGAGGTGACTGACAAATTCACATCCCTAAAAATGATCCTCTGAGGGACATTTTTGTTTTCTCGAGAGTAGAATATTCTTGGCCTGAGTCTGACAACACAGTGGTTTATTGAGGCAAATTTTGAGTCAGGCTTCCAGTGACCAAAAGCATTGCCCTCCTCAGCAGATGGAAATCCCACTGCTCCAAGGAAGCTGGCTGTTGGCATTCTAAGTGCAGTTCACTCAGACCCAGAAGGGTGACAGTTTCAGTTTTAGAAAGTGGCTTCTCAACCACTCAAATGTCAGTTGGGCAGGGTGGGAGGCAGTCATCTGCACTGGTTTTGGTTTTGGTGCTTGGGATCAAACCTAAGACCTTGCACCCCCAGCCGCCAAATAGGTCTTTTTTCCCCCTAAACGTTCCTCATCTACCCCAGCCTCTACTGGGACTTCCCACAGTACAGCTGCTGGACGTGCAAGTCAACAGGGAAGAATCACTGTGTTCTAGGCTTGGAGGTAGCTGCACTTGATGCTGATTCCTGGAGATGGATGAGCCTGGCAGCTAATCTAGAGGCTCGTCTTTGACAACTCTTAAAAGATGCTTGACCTCCTGTCCAGGAGGCAGGCATTTGCTCAACTCCTTGGCTTAGGTGAACAAAATCTAGTCGTTGCTGGTAGGTGATGACACAGGGCTTTCTAAGATTAGGGCATGCCTCAGAATCCCCAGATCTAGTGGTCTCGTACAAAGCACAAAGCCTGATCTCAGGGGAGCAGACCCTGTGCCCATCTCTGGCCTCTACCTGCATCTAAAGCCAAGCTCCACCCCTCACCTATGGCTTACTCTCCAGCAAGTTCTCAAATTGTCTTAATGGCCTCAGAATCCCTGGTGCAGAGCTGCCATTTAAAGATGGTGTTATAGTCGTCAGACATGGTTATATATTTTTTCTTTTTTTAAATTTGTTTTAATTAGTTACACATGACAGTACAAAGACCTTGACATATCATACATTTGAATCAGATGGGATATAGCTTCTCATTTTTCTGAGTGTACAGGTTGCAGAATCACACTGTCATGCAGCCACATATATACACACAGCAATAATAATGTCGGTTTCATTCTACTCTCCTTCCTGTCCCCCCATCCCCTCCCCTCCCCTCCATGAGGTAAATAGGTTCATATGTAAACTTTACATAATATACAGAAGGATTCCTTTCCACAAATGCTAAGAGTTCCCATCAAAAAGCAGAAGATCGCTCAGCAGGAAGGCATGAAGCTGAAGTAATAAAGCCAACTGAAACACTGGCCCAGTCAATCAGAACAGAACGTGGATGTTCAAATGGCACCCAGTACCACAATGGTTGCTTTAGGGTTGGGAGGTTAGGAGTGTCATTTTTTGCTAAAAGTGCTTTTGGAACTTGTCTTTGGAACTTGTCTACCCTTACTGTAGTGTAGCCTTTAGTTATAAGGATGTACAAAATCTCTAGGATTCTGTTTGGGTTTTTTTTTTTGTTTTGTTTTATTTAAGGCCGGAATGGTGATTTTGATTACAAAATTACCTGGGAATCATTTGGAAGACACAGTGGAACTTTTACTTTCTTTACACTTTCTAATACACCCCAGATTTCCTATTAGGGTTGTGAATTTACCACAATGAACAATACATAGGAAAAAATTTCTTACGTTTTAAGTTACTCAGAAGCAATCTCACTGAATAGATGAAGATGTTCAAACCAGTTGTACGGATTGTAGGGAAATGTTGAGGAGGTTTTCTCCTCTGGGCTTAGCTTGTTTTCCTGCTAGTATTAGAAAAGAATTTTGTCGTTAGGCAACATTTTCAACACAACACCTGTTAACAGGATTGCTAAATTTGAAAATGAAATGACGTCAATT